GATGCCATAATCACAATCAAGTGTGTTATTTTGACTGAACGACTTCTTAAAAGTTTCTTCTAGTTGTAAGTTATGTCATTCAATACGCTTAGATATATTAAGTTATTGTTTACGCGTCTTTGCGAAGATGTGGTAAATGACGTAATTTGAAACCACAAGAAACGTGTAAAAAGACCGCTTCAGTCAAATTACACGTTTAGAGAATATTTGTAATTACGGTATTATCGCACGCAAGGCGCATAGAAGCCGTTAATTCAATCCCTACGAACGTAGAAAGACGGGTTTGGTACGGTGCGTATCACGAATTTGTGTACTACAGATTTTGCAATGAAATTTTACTTCCACTTTGTAATATCACTTCGGGAAAGTCAACGAAGTGAAAGTGTTTCCGCTGAAAGCCAGTGAATACTCACTAATTGTCGGTGAAATACTCTTTCTATCGATTCGGTCAGAAATATTTTTACTGATTCACTTTAAAGGAGTACGTAAAAACGTCGCGCATTGTCATGTGATTCACCGATGTCTCGATAAGCGCATTTCGATACGCGATACGTATAAATCGCGGTTATTAGCGCGCGTGCGCGCGCGCTTAGCGATTCGTTATCGCAAAGCGCAACCGCGCTCAGTCGGGAGCGAATCATTTAGAAATTTAATGCTATGAATGTTAAGTAACGTCCCTCGTTTGCGTCGCTCGTTAATGTACCGGGGGGAGCAGGTAATTCGGCAAGCATAAATTTTACAGTCACCGTTCCCCGCGGCTGCCGGCATTTCCGGTCAATATTTCAATCAAGGTCACGTTGCGTTTGTGCAATTGCCTAATTGCCGTTTTCGTTTTGCAAGTTTTTAGCAGCCGCTCGTCGTGATTGAATCGACCGACAATAAAGCGACGATGACGACGACGGCGTTTAATTGAGTCGGTTTATCTCAGAACGCGAAGGAAACGATGTTGTTAGTCGCATCGTTCGTCGATTGTCGTGCGTGACTTTACACGAGGATGTTTTTACACGGAAGATATTTGCGTGATAGTCGAAACAGAAGTGTTTTGTGACGCGCCCCGCGACTGTGTTAATATTATCCCTGCAAATGTTTCTCAAAATCTTCCCAAATGCATAGATTCTGATTAGAATGCCAAAATTTGCTCCAGAATTGGTTAATCCACTCTGCGATGCCAACTGATAATCTCATTCTTGTCCCAAACATAGGTTCCTTGTCTAGAATCAAAACAGAAATATTCTAGGAACTCGCGCTTTTTTCAGTCGGTAATGTTGTTATATTTTAAGATATCAATCAATTTTTATATCAACCATTTAATAGAATAAAATATTTTTAACATACTCTGAGCACGTTTACTAAATAATGAAATTATTTAGAAAGTCAACATGCTTTTTTAACTTAATTCTAATGTAAAATGAAAACCAGAAGAAATGTCGGAAAAATGTTGGGTTTCCCCACATAGAAAATTGCATATTTGAAACATTACACTTATATCTAGAATCCATAATTATTTTGGGAAATCGGGCTAGATCACAATTTAATTTTTCCAAGAAATTTTCTATGCGGATCGTTTCCAGAACATTTGTGATATAATGCTCGTGATACACCGAATGTTACACACTGAGTCCAATATATTTTGATTGACAATATTTAGGTAGCGTCCCATTCAGATAGAAGAAGCGACAGTCATTTGAACGGATTATAGATTACGGACGGTGATACCGGTGTTTATGAATTAAAGCCATGTCTCTGATATTAACGCGATATTGTATGACACACAATTTGTGTGAGCAACTTCATAATACGACCCTATCTTCTCTCCGTCTCGACTGTCCCCCTCATCGCCCCGATAATTCTAAAATTGATGTCCGAGAGATACGCTCTCTCGATAGACGGAGAATACACAAGTCAAGAAGCGCGTGTAGGATTTACGAAACAGCCCTTAAATATTCGTAATCCCGTTTCTAAAATAGGCATTTTCATAAGTGACACCGAGAGACACAAGAGACAAACAGTTACATTAATTTACGTTTCAATTATGTTAACTCGCAATTGAACACCATATAGATTCTAAACGAGTAAGTTTTAGGCTCGTATTAATAGTTATCACTTGAAACTCGTTTCAAAAGTGAGATACTGGAATTTTAATTCCAGTTAGATGACAATTTTTCAGTGAATCGCGATTACAGATACAGAATGTCACATATAAAAATTCAAAACCTGGATCAATTTCCGAATTGTAAAATTTGAGTATCTCACACAAGACAAATTTCAGGTGACAACGCGGGCTTTACTCTAAAAATTTCTTGCAATCTTACTCAAAAAGACTATAAAGTGACAGTATGTTTACTCAAAGCAATAGTGAAAATTTTCACTGAAGCTTAGAGTGGATTCTGACACCATATGGGTGAATGTAATCGATTAGAATACCTTAATGTAATGTAATGTAGTGTGTGCCTTTGACGGTGGAGTACACACTGAGTTGCAAAAAATACACATTGAAGTTGGGCTCTCACCAAATTGTCAAGATTGAGAGTTATTTCGCATATAACATAAATGTCCAAGAGATGTCTGGATGACGTCGTGCTTGTTTTAGATGCCTTAGGATATTTTTGAGACATATTTTAGACACATTCGTGCTGTTTAGGTACCGACGAGCTTGCGCAGTGATTACATTGCGGGGGTAAGCCCGTCGGTAATGCCTTTCAATTTTGATAGGTCGGTGAACTCCCACCTTCATTGTGTCATTTTGCAACCGCGACTATACATCAGATTTTCAATTTCGAGTGAAGATACTCATCGGTGATTCAGATTGGAGAATCTACTCTGTATGAGAGAAAAACCACGCGAATTTGGCTAACTCTTGGTGCTCGCTCTACTTTTGGAGTGGAGCTTCACTCCAAGAAATTTAGAGAGTACGATTCAAGCGATTTCGAGCATCGTTAAAGCGGAGACTTGAGCCGGCAGTGGGTGTTAATGACACATTTTCGCGAAGGCAAGCGTTGTTATTTAGCGGCGCGTAATTCAGCGCCGGGGAATTCATTAGCGGTGCGGTCGCATCATATTTCTGTATTTAGCCTGACGTACGGGCGAAGTTAAATGTTGCTACGGAAAGCGCTCATAAACGTGACATCTTCCACAAGCTTTCAAGACGATGACAAACGCATTCTGCTTTGTGGCACGCCATCCGGCGGAAAAGTTATGCATTCGCAACATCGCAAACGAGATCTTGATGACGCGAACCGTCAGCAACAAAATACGTGGCGTTGCAAAAGTGAATCGGAAGCTCGCGTTTTCGCACACAGACCGAGCGCGCACGTACATCACCGACGCGCGAGTCCCGCCGTCATAAACTTTTAATCGCGCGTGTCTCCAGTGCCTTCTTGCGGCTCGTCCCAAGGCACCGAATCCTTGGGATTGCCCCGTTACACACCGGGCTCGCTTTAAGCAACCGCGAATCTTTTTATTGCACCTCTGAGATAATATTTATCATTCGTTCACAGTCCTCTCTGTCCGTTTGTCTCTCTCCGTGTGTGTTCCTGCAATCGTTATTCGCGCCGGCAATTTCTCCGAGTGCAAGTTTTAGTTATCTCGCTAACAATAAATCAAGATCCGCGGCCGAAATGCGTCCCCTCGCCGCTCCGGGACGGGGTTAAAACAGGCTATAGTGATTCGCGCGAATCAAAGCGGAAAATCAGACTCCGACTATGTAAATCCGTGAATTATACGCCGGCCGATCGTATCGAATGCACAGATAGTTTCGTAATAGATTCGTAGCTCCTAGTCGCGCTTTCGTCTGGCCGCGGTGGCGCGATCGACCGCCCTTGTGGTAATTCTGCGATTAATGCGTTCAATCCGTCCCGCATTACACGCACGCTATCGCAGCACGCGACGATTTGCGCGCCCGGACCGAGAGCCGGCGGTTTCCCCCCGGCGATTTTCTATTGCATAAACGGCAATGGCGAATTGTTACCGTTACAGATGTTACTAATATCTGCCGGCATCAATAATAACTCGTGACGTTAATCTCCCGACGCCGTGTATACGCGTGAAGTACCCTTTAACAATATTTCCAACGGAGAACCACGTCCGCGTGTGTATATCTCACGTTATTTCTCGTGAGCGTAAAATATCGCTTAAGACTATTATTTATTACAAAAGCTCAATAGCTTACAAACTTATTGTTTCGATTGACAGGCTAACAATATTCTGCATTAAACAAGTAAGAGCCCAAACAATTCCGGATTCAATCTGCCGAAAATTCACCTTTCTCATTACTAAAAATCAACTCTCTTTATTTCCAAAAATCACCCCCTACCGAACATACCAATCTTTTATAATTAATATCTCTCGAATACCGATTAACGTGTTTAAGATATTCCAACTTTTTACTCGTAAATAATTCTACGTAAGAAGTATCACCTCAATTAAAGGTTGAACCTGGATCCGCCAGGTAAGATGCCTTATCCAGATTCATACAATTGGTCTTTCTAATTATCAAGAAACAACTCTTTTTATCGCCAAAAATTACCCCTGCTGAATATATCAATTTTACGCGATTAATATATGTCGAATACCGATGAACGTACTTAAAATATTCCAATCCCTTAGTCGCAAATAATCCCACGTAAGAAGTATTACTCTAACTAAGGATTGAACCTGGATCTGCCAGGTAGGATGTCATATCCAGATCTAGGTTTATGCCTTTTTAATTACCAAAAAACAACCTTCTTCATCTTTAAAAATCACCACTGCCGAATATACCAATTTTTTACGATTAATATCTCTGAAATACCGACGAACGTGTTTAAGATATCCCAACTCTTCAGTCGCAAATAATCCCACGTAAGAAGTATCACTCCAACTAAGGAGAATTGAACCTGGATCTGCCAGGCAGGACGCCTTATCCAGGTCCAGGTTCATTCGCGACGGTGGCTTATGATCATCGTGCGACTGATTCGCGTCACCTTCTCAATTCATTCGAACTTAGAAGATAGCGTACGCACCCGAGGACGCCGTGAAACCGGCGTGCATGGCATACCGCGGCGCTGCCATGTGTTGGGGGTGCGGGGTCGGTGGTAGGGCCGCGTGCGACGGCGGTACCGATCCCTGGGGGTGGGCTGCCGCCGGTCTCGAGAGTATCGTGTCGATTCCGTGGGGATTACTGCCGACGGAGGTGATAGAGGTTGCCGGGCTGTGCCTGCCACTGCCGGTGGGTGAGGATTGGCCCTGCGTGATGGTGGAGAGCGGCACGGTGATGCGCGGCAGTTGGATGCCCTGTTGCTGCTGATGCGGCGGATGATGCTGCTGATGCGGCGGCGGCTGTTGCTGCTGCTGCTGCTGTTGCTGCTGCTGGTGTTGGTGCTGCTGCTGCTGCTGCTGCTGCTGCTGTTGCTGCTGCTGCTGCTGCTGCTGATGACTCCTCTCTGCCATGGAGTGCAGCGCTGCCAGCGGCTGGCTGCCGAGCATGCCTCCGCCGGCGGCACTCAAATTGAGGAACTGCAGAACATGGGGCGCGGCCGCCGCGTGGAAGTCATGCAGCCAGGGTGGCCGCGGCGGCGGCGGCGAGTGGCTCGTGGCAGGCGGCGGCGAGCACGAACCCAGGGAGGAGCCCGCGGACGAGCTGCGGTCACCCTCCAGGTGATTGTTGTTGCGTCGGTGCGCGTCGCTGAGCGACGACGACATGTTCTCGACGATCTCGAGTCCGCTCTCCGGCGTGGAGCGCGATGGCGGGTCCGGGTCTCCGCTGTCGGCGCAAGCCTTGCCGCTGGTCAGAGAACACACCATCTCGCACCACGCATAGTTCGGTAGTGAGCGAAAAATCTTAACCGGTGCTTAGCTGCGTGCCGGGGTGAGATGTGGCGTGATCCGCCCGGAGCCGCGGAGTCCTCGCGCGGGGGTGATTCCCGAGGACTCTCCGGCACCGCAGATGAAACGCTGGTACCGCGATCAGTTAGGATACGCGCGGTGACAGTCGGTGCCGTTGGCAGGAGTGGTTTGTTGACCGGTCGCGGATACGCGACGACGATTTACGGATACGGTCTCACTATGCGCGCTTCTCTCGGCTTCGACGAGCGACGGGTGGTACCTTCTCCTCTGGACAGGCACTGTACCGACCACACAGGTAGTAGCAGTAGTAATAGGACACGTCCGACACTCACCGCGAACGCGATCGCGACTGCCACTGTTCCCCCCGCAAGGGTAGGTTTCCCTTTCTCGCTGTTCTTTTCTGCCTCTTTTTCCCTCTCCGCGCACGCACTGCCCCTCGTAGCTGGTGTTTCCGTTCCTCCCGTTTCTCCTCCTCGAGTCAATCACTGTTCCCCATGACTCCGTGTGAGCGCACGACGCGTCGTTTACGCGCGACCGGTTGCACGACGTTCCGGGTTACCGGTGGCGATCGATGAGCGAGAGGAGCGTGGTAGGCGCGCACAGTCGTCGCGGACGGTCGGTTCACCGGGTCCGCGCGATGACACGGAGAACGAGACACGGGGGATTGCGGTCGCGGACCAATTGTCGATGGTCATCCGCGTCTACGTGAACGGTGGACTGGCGCGCGCGAGACCAGGAAGGTACGTGCCGCGACGACGATACGGGGGCTCGTCGAGTGACTCGCGTCGCGTCAGCCAAATGGTGTACGAGCGGGGTGCATCGGGCGCGCACTCTCTCTCCGACGGGAGATCGAGTCTCTCTCCCGTACCTTCGTCCTTGCCCTCGTCCTCGCGCGCGCGTTTCCGCGTTAGGGGAGATAGCTCGGCCCTCGACGCGAATGGATTGGCGTGTTGTCCGTGGGTCGGTTGACTACCCAGGGGCGGTACTGCCTCCGGATTGGTCGACCTGGTGGTATTTTAGCGGAAGGAGAGGTGTTCCGGGCGGGGCCTCTCAATCTCGCGTTAGCTTCTTGTTAAGCGTCTTTCATTGTGTGTTTAAATTCGTAATTTATGATCCCGACTGAATAAAACAAGAACTTGCTGGTTCGCTCGCTCGTTCACTCGCTCGCTCGCTCGTACGCTCGCTGCCTGGCTGGTTGGCTGGCTAGCTGGCTGGTTGGCAGGCTGGTTGGTTGGCTTGCTGACTGAACCTCTCTTGGCTGAGACTGGTTCTCTAGTGTGCTCGACGACTGGGCACCTCTGCACGACTACGATGACACTACTGTCTCGATAACTCGCTTCCTTCCTTCCGTCGTTCCTTCACTCGCTACCTACCCATCCACCCCATCTACCATTTCCACCCCCTCTCTCTCTCTCTCTCTCTCTCTCTCTCTCTCTCTCTCTCTCTCTCTCTCTCTCTCTC